AAAGATTTTCGTCAGTTTTGAAGTAGGAAACCTGAAGTTTTGGGTTGATAAGAAAAAATTTGTAACTATTTATTTGAAATGATCTGTCACAAAACTGAATATGACAAACCACATTCTACGTGGGTGAAGCCGCTGGCAACAACTAGTAAACTAATAGTTCTTAAGTCAGCTTTTTCTCCCTTTGCTATCCTTTATTTTTTCAATGTATTGACAATTCCTATACGATTTTATATTGTCTCTGGACATGAGGTATTATTATTATAACAATCATGTGACATGCCATCTACTAGGAACAAGTTTCTTCATCAGCTCTCTTTAAAAACGCAAGAAGTATTCCAATCAAACCACTACAAAAAATCCGTCAAGTTTATTCCACTAAAAAAAAACAAAACTGTACAACCTTAATCGTACAAATCAAAATCAGTCAAAGTATAAACAGAAAAAACTAAATAAATTCATCTTATGCACTGTTTTAGTGCACTGGGCTTCGCCCTCACTTTCTCTGCATTACTGCTCTTTGTCACGCTCTTAGTGAAGCACTTCCACAACCTCAGGGTCTCGTCCGCTCCAGCTGACAGGAATGTAGATCCATCTGGAGACATGGCGAGGTGCAGCACTCTCGCGGTGTGTCCAGTGAGCTCAGTCACTTTCGTCATTCCGGGATACTTCCAGATGATGATCTCGTTGTTGGCGAAACCGTGCCCCGAGACCAATTCTTTGTAATTGGTGGACCAGAGTAAGGCACACACCTAAAAAACAAGACTCAACTGATGAAGAAATAGGTATCTATAGACAAGAATATTGTTTACAAAAAGTTTTGCCAACCCAATCACTTATAGGGGAACCACATATGTCGGTGAGCTCAAGATATAGATTAACGCCCATGGCGCCATCTGTTGTACGTTGTTGAAACTCGTCAGCCATTTTTGTATTCTGTCATCAGAAGTAGATTCCTTCTGAACATTCGGCCTATGCCTATTATTACAACAAGATTTTCCTCAGTAGTTTTTCGCCGTTTTTTCACGTTTCATACGTGTAATATTCCTTATTGAAGTGGGTACGCGATGAATATTTTAATCCCATTAGAGATGACAGAATTCATTATTTATTCTTTATACACCTGTACAAAGTTTTCCATTAGAGTTTTCATTTTATTTCACATTTCAGATGAACATTCCAAAAAGTGCAATGAAAAACTTTGACTGACTTGAAAAAAAGACTCCTTCACTAGGTTGTTATCTCATAACTGTCACTTGTCATTTTTATTTCAGAGAAAATGTGGCTTCCCTATATATGAGTGAGTTGCTTTCAAATCTACCTTACAGTTCAGGTGTAGTCTTACCTGTGATCTGGTGTCTATTGCATTTACACAAGCTCCCGTATTGCAGTTCCAGAATCGTATATGACGATCCGCAGTCCCTCCTCCGCTAGCGAGTAAATGTGGTTGCCAGGGGCACCATGCCAGGGCTTTCACGGCTGCTTGATGGGACGTGAAACTGTGCAGAGGGGTGGTGTTGGAATGATACCCTCCGTTAACCTTAAATTCGCATCAATATTTCAGTCAAAATATGACCTCAACCCACAATTTCAAGAGACATTGACTCCTGGTAGCCACATATGAGGCTATCGAATCCCATGAATTTTCCAGCGATCCAAATCCCATTGAAAATACAATAAACTGAACCATTTCGAACTGTATACTGCCAAAAACAGGTGACCTATTTTACAATTTTCATCATTGAGATACGAGTTCCATGGGAGTTCGATTTGCTGTATTTTTTTTCAAATCAGAAACAACATGAATAGGTAAGAAATAACGAGAAGTAGTTTACATTAAATTACTGGCATCCATAATGATAATTAATTAAATATCGTTGAAACATGACTGAATTTCTGGGTTCTGGATCCTGAATATATCAAGTCATTTGGTATAAGTAATGTTCTATAGGACAATTCCATAATAGTAGACACTGAATTCTCAGAAATAGTATCACATTAAAACGAAAACATACTCGTCAAGGTTATGATTCTATATATTTCATCATTACGACACTGCAAGAGACAGATTAAGACAAAAACGTCCAGTCATTTCTGAGAATTTAGTGCCTAATATTTTGGAATTATGGTATAAAACATATTTTTATCCTAAAATATTCAGTTTTTTTTGTCTTCCAGTTTGTATTTGAAAGAAACGACTGTGTATAATCTACACATCTTTGTACGGAATTGTTATTTATGACTATCATTATCATTATTTTATTATATTACTAGATGATCCTATTTGTCAAGTTCAAAAAATTAAAAGAGATGAAGAGGTTAAAATATATCATGGTTGGCAGCATGGTACCATAACCTTATGCCGTAAGTTGAAAAAAAAAGAAGAGGAAGATGTTAAAATGTTTCATGGCGACGTAGCCCCGACTGTTAAGGCCAGATTCACAAAAAAAAGAAGATTATGAAACGTCAAAGTCCTAACCTGTTAACCTTATTCAAAGGAATTTGTTTACGAAATTAACAGCACCCTCAAACTGTAAACATGAGAAGAGGCATCGGTTTGGGGGCCATTAAAAAAAACAAACTAGAACAAGAAAGATACAGGGACAAAGGAAATGAAATCCAGGAATCGCAGTTCGAACAAATGACCAAGCAAATGGAAGTTTTCAAAACGAATTTAGAGGAGTTCGCCTCCAAACACAAAAACGAGATCCGAAAAAACCCCGAGTTTAGGAAACAGTTCCAGGAGATGTGCGCGAGCATAGGCGTAGACCCGTTATCGTCCGGAAAGGGATTCTGGTCTGTGCTGGGCATCGGAGACTTTTACTACGAGCTGGCAGTTCAAATCGTCGAAGTATGTCTAGCCACGAATGCCAAAAATGGTGGCCTCATAGGTAAAAATATATATACATCTATTAGTGTATAAGATCTGTCACTACTAGCATATATTTAGATTCAACATCTGTGAACTCTATGCTTTGCCAATAAGAATCTTCAATAACAATCTTTCAAAATAAGAATCTTAATCGACTGATTGATCACAGGTCTTGACGAACTGAGAACGAAACTTATTCGAGCGAGAGGGCAGAGCAAATCCCACCAAGAGATTACGAAAGATGACCTGATACGAGCAGCGGGCAAGTTGAAAGTCTTTGGCAACGGTTTCAACGTGATACCCATGGGCAAAGACAAGTACATGGTGCAATCAGTGCCGGGGGAATTAAGCATGGACCATTCGACGATACTGCAACAAGCTGAGAAGAACCAGGCTTGCTTATCGGTGTCTTATCTGCAGAAGAACTTGAACTGGGAGACGGAGAGAAGTCGCAACGCTCTGGAACATATGGTGAACCAGGGGCTAGCTTGGATCGATCTCCAGAGTTCCCAAGATAAACTTTACTACTTTCCTAGTCTGTTTACTGCCTGCGTTAATGCTTGAAAATAATATAATTGTATACTTTGCAGCTATGTTTCATTTCTTACTTGAAAGGCGTTAAGAGTATTGGTACATGGGATGTTTCTTCCCCACTTGGGGCTTTGTTCACGACATGTGGCTTTTACTAGTCAACAATTTTTCTTTTGAAAGGTTTCATACATGCAGTGGAGCTGTGTTGAAATTAATCAAGTCACAGGTACTTTGCTGTTTGGGTCAAATCTTTCCTGCATTGATGATTGGATACCTTGAAACCGGTTTGTAGGTGATCTACTCAAATAATTTCAACATGGTCTTGCTGCTGGATGAATGAGAAACATCTGCGAACCAATTTCTATGAAGTATCTTGCATACACGTCTGTCAGATTTAATTCAATGTCCGGTGTGGTATCAGCCGGGAAAGTATTTGTTTTCCGGCAGGCATTTACCAGAACCTACGTTGTAGGTACTTGGGAGATATGAATATTAGCACAGCCAATAATCGGTTCATAAATCGATTATTGGCTGTGGTTAAAGTCTCAAAAGTTCAGTTTCAATATTGAAAAATTTGGCTATTACCAGCTCATAAACCGATTATTGGTTATTACCGGTTCATAAACCCATTATTAGCATAGCCAATAATTGGTTCATGTACTGGTTTACAAACCTATTATTAGTGTGGTTAAAGTCTCCCAAGTTCACTTTCAATTTTTTTAAATTTGGCTAGTCAATAATCGGTTCATAAACCGGTGTATGAACCGATTGTTAGCTGGGTTAAAATCTCACAAGTTCAGTTTTAATATTGAAAAAATTTGATATTACCAGTTCATAAACCGATTATTGGCTATTACCGATTCATAAACCCATTATTAGCATAGCCAATAACTGGTTCATATACCGGTTTATGAATCGCTTATTGGCTGTAATCAAAGTCTCACAATTTCACTTTCAATTTTGAAAAATTTGGCTAGTCAATAATCTGTTCATAAACCGGTGTATGAACCAATTGTTGGCTGTGGTTAAAGTCTAACAAGTTCAGTTTCAATATAGAAAAAATTGGAAATCACCAGTTCATAAACCGATTATTGGCTATTACCGATTCATAAACCCATTATTAGCATAGCCAATAATTGGTTCATATACCGGTTTTTGTGGTTAAAGTCTCGCAAGTTCACTTTCAATTTTGAAAAATTGGGCTAGTCAATAATAGGTTCATAAACCGGTGTATGAACCGATTGTTGGCTGTGGTTAGTTAGATTCAGTTTCAATATTGAAAAAATTGGCTATTACCATTTCATAAACCCATTATTAGCACAGCCAATAAGTGGTTCATATACCGGTTTACGAACCGATTATTGGCTGTGGTTAAAGTCTCACAAGTTCAGTTTCAATATTGAAAAATTTGGCTAGTCAATAATCGGTTCATAAACCGGTGTATGAACCGATTGTTGGCTGTGGTTAGTCTCACCAAGTTCAGTTTCAATATTGACAAAATTGGCTATTACCAGTTCATAAACCGATTATTGGCTATTACCAGTTCAGAAACCCATTATTATCATAGCCAATAATTGGTTCATATACCGGTTTATGAATTTCTTATTGGCTGTGGTTGAAGTCTCACAAGTTCAGTATCAATATTGAAAAATTTGGCTATTACCAGTTCATAAACCGATTATTTGCTATTACTGGTTAATATACCCATTATTAGCAAAGCCAATAATTAGTTCATATAACCGATTATTGGCTATTACTGGTTAATATACCCATTATAAGCAAGGCCAATAATTGGTTCATATACTGGTTTATGAATCGCTTATTGGCTGTGGTTAAAGCCTCACAAGTTCAGTTTCAATATTGAAAAATTTGGCTATTACCAGTTCATACACCGATTATTGGCTATTACCGGTTAATAAACCCATTATTAGCAAAGCCAATAATTGGTTCCTATACCGGTTTATGAACCGATTATTGGCTGTGTTTAAATTCTCACAAGTTCAGTTTTAATTTTTGACAAATTTTGTTTTGAAAAATCTACTCAATACCTGAAAAATATTAATTTCTTGTGCAATTGCCATGCTTAGAACTGGTAAATAAACTATAGTAAACTAGAATTCAATGACTCATTGTTCAAGTGTACGTTCAAAAAGGAAAGTATGAAACATATTTTCCACCTGGTGAACTATCATTTTATATTTTCACTCTTCACGAAAAATAAGCCATTGTTATCATGGAATATCAAACGAGTATACTCTCCTGAAAATTATATTGAACATCGTACTCACCGCCTGCCAAATATTCAGAACGTTATCATTCCCACCGCTAGCCAAATATTTCCCGTCCGTGGACCATTTGAGCCCGCAGACTTCTTGAGTGTGTCCTGATAGTATACCGATTCTATGTTCCCTCTGTCGTACGTCGTGATGAATGATCTGTCCGCTACGGCAACCGCTCGATAGAACAAAAGAGTTCCAAGATAGAGAGCCGACTCGAGCCGAGTGGCCTTCCATAATTCGCAGCTTCTTGGCTCTTTCACAGTCCCAGAGTTCCACGGTACCTACATTATACAATCAAATTGTTGTAGCATTACCTTATTCTGGCTTATATAAAACTATATGTCTAACAGCACGAATTAACTATTCTATTTTAGGATTTTATTCTCACCGTTTGTGTTGCCCACGGCTAAGCAGTTTCCATCCTGGGTCCAGGATAGGGAGCAAACGTAGTCGTTACCTTCTAATTCCAGTAACTGGTCAATGTTGCCGGTTCCTGGAAAAACAAAATTCTTGTTCAACTGGTTTTCTAAACAGCCACCAAGTTCACCAGATTTAATCTCCACAGTGGGTTTTGGGTTTAATCTGAAGAATTGGGGAATGCATTCAATCAGCAAAATAAGATATGAGGCGCTGCAAACATAAAGGTATCAGCATATTTCAACCGATAGAGCAAGTCAAGAATCAGTTTGATACTTGTTGCCATATGATGACAACTGGCTGCAAACTAGGGACAACCAGCGAGAAGTCATGAAGATATCTCTGAAAAATCTTTTAAATGTTGTACAAAACAAACAAACATAACAATAGATGAAAATCTATTCAGTCATTCAAGAAAAATATGAAAATAATACCATATTATTAGAAAATAAACTTCTATTGAACTAGAAACACGCTTTCACACTAATCATACCTTTCACACTCCAGTCAATGTTAATGAGATTATAGGTTGCTCCCACATCAAGAGGTTTAAAAACTTCCAAGTTATATAAAGGAAACGGAAGTAGTCCTAATATTGAACCTTGTGGAACACCCTACATATTTGTCAACAAAACCTGCTCATATGTACCGTGAACAGTTGACTAAACAAACAAATAAGCTATATAAGATGATATTTTCCATACCTGCATTCCACAAATAAACATGAGCGCCCAGAGCTGCTGCCAGAATATTATTAGGCCCCCAGTCGATCAAGTTCAGGTAATAGTCGTCAACAATATCAGGGGCATCCAGAATTCTATCGGGAGCCTGAGGAATGTATCTGCTGCCTTTCGTAGAGGCAGGTGTCTTGGCCTGTGTGTAAATGACTCTCATAGGGTTCTGAAACCCTTCAGGGGCTGAAGGAGCCTTGTTTTTGTAAGACAGTATACGCTGATTGTTGATGTCGCCTCCTCGTAAGTTCTCTGACATCAACCGCTGTAGTTCCTTCCTGGTAGGGCTGTCGCTCTGGTCGTTTTCATCCTGCGTGAGCTTGTAGTGTGCCAGTTCAAAGTTGCTGGCACTTCGTGAAGGGATGAAACGGTCTCCACCAGGCGTTCTCGCTGATTTGTGAGGTGTGGGGGTTTTTGACTTCTTTGGGGTTTTTGACGGAGTCTTGCTTCTCAGAGGATCATTTTCGTTACCTTGAAAGAAATACTCATAGTTGAAAAACCTTACAAAAGATACTGACATTGCCATGATTTCAAACAGCCTTTCAATAAGCTAGATAAGCACATATACACAAACTGATTACCAGTTAACTTGAGTTAACTGCAACTCAAGACTGGTATATGAATCCACTTTTACCTTTTATCGGTGTTTTCGTCGAATTGAGAGCCGAAGAAGACAGCGATCTCAGCTTCGAGGAGTTGTTGGAACTGCTGTTTGATGATCCAGGGTCTCTTTTTTTCTGCCATCGAGGCACTGGACCGTTGACGGGACCGTCCATCGTCAGTATGGTGTTAACTTCGTTCCAAAACTTGAACTGTGACATAATGTCTAATAGTATTTGTATAATAAAATATAAATAAATTCAGGTAGATAATATCATAAACTACATGCCATTAACACAAGTCAATATGGCAAATGACCGTTGAGCAAATTCGGTTTTCAAATTGAAAAAAGAGAAGTGCGCAAGTCAACTGTAGCACATTACATACATACCTGACTGTAGTCAAAGGTAGCCAACTGTCATCGAAGTTGCCGGTCATATAACTAATACAAAATAATAGGACCAGTATACCCAACCCTCAAAGAAAAATCCCCAAAGCTCAAATCGAAAACCCATAAAATTATAACAGTTTCTGTATTTGAATCACAGACATTCATTCTGACGTTGAAACGATGACGTCACACCTACTCTGATTTGAAACGTATTCAGGATGATTGAAAACTAGCTTGAGGTTGGTTTTGAAACGGCATTAAATTTGATGTTACGGAACGCCAGTTTGTACTTTATTTGGATGGTTATAGTTTATTCAGTGCTGAAAACTCTTTATCAAATACGTTGTAAGGATGTATGGAATGAAGCTGGGAAAGTATTGTATTATTGTAGAGAAAATTAGAAAGTTTGTTTTTATAATTCGATTTAAAATCTGACACAAATTGAAACATTCCATTCTAGTAATCTCATTATCAATGACGTCACTACGAATCGTTTTCGAATACACGCTCGAATACGATTAAATGCCAAAAAACACCCATTGTAAATACGAAGTCAATTCGAATGGTATAAAAACTAAATAGTTGCCGAACGACGACAGTTTCTTTGTATGGCATGGGCGGCGTGACATAATACGAGATCTATTCATTATTTTTGCGTGAAAGGTTTTATATAGTATTAACTATTAGATTTATCAGACTAGAAATATCAGTCTTTTATATAATAACTGTTCGGATTGACTTCGTATAGACTACTTATGAACATTTACTTAAAAAAATTATAAATCATGAGTTAATGATAAAATTAGTGAATGATAAATAATATTCTTCACATACAAAAATTACACTGATACATTGTTCAATACAACATTGAAATCATACATATTCATATTTAATAAACTTTGGTGCCACTCAGACTCGATACCATTTTTGTTGCCACAGATGTGAGTTCGCCGAATGTGGTTCAATATTGGTGCTAAATCGGATTTCACTTGATTTCTAGCAACCTTTGCATGCAAATCGGCAAGAATTTTTAACATTGATAAATCTGGATCTGTTTCGTTAGACAAACAAATCTTTTTTGTGAACTTCCAATATAACAAGGCAAGCTTCATCGAATCTCTGAATCTCGAGCACCCAATTTTTATATTAGGTTAGGTTGGCAAAAGTGCACTTATTCAAATGGCGCTTATTTCGATTAAACTGAATAAGTATTCATTGAAATATTACGGTTTGAAATAAAAAAGAAGAAACTCTTGAAACAGCCTAATACAAGAAATAATAAGAAAAATCACTGAATATACAGAAATACTTGAACAAAAATCCGTTACAAATAATCAAAATACAATGACAGTAAAATATCGTGACGTCGATCTGACATTCAAGTGCCGTAATGCCAAAACATTGATCTCTCCATCCTTTTTCAGTTGGTGACCTATTTCTCTCTTCAATGAGTAGTCCATATTATGACATTCCTGACCCAAGTAAAGAATAGGTATTTCTAGATACGACAAACTTTCATCTCGAAGATTTAAAATTTTCAAAGTCAGAGTTCCATTACACAATCCACTATACATAGAATAATAAAGACATGATCGATAGATATTATTATCTTTGCGCAAATTTCGGAAATCAATGTAATGATTACGTACACATAAACTGTAAACTCCTCTCGTTAATCCATCAACTGTTCAATTTCCATTGAAATGTGACCTCAAAAGTGTATTAAAAACCCATATTGCCTGTACTCGGGAACACTTCAACCATGTGCTCATGGGATATCTTTAAATGGCTTTGACAAAAAACATACCATTTAATGAAAGTATGGTTGAGCAAGGTCTATTCTGTCAAAATACGTTTTTCTTTCAACCAGCTGCCGCCCCCCCTCATGAACAACTCAGAGAAGTAGAAACTAGTGCGTATTAACGAGATCTTACCTCTTAACGTGCGATTCCAAAATACTCTTCAAGCAGTTATTACAAAATGCAGATTCAAAAAAATAGCGAAAATGTATGAAACATGTTATAAAAGAAGACAACAACATGTGGAAATTAGGCCATTTATATCCACGTTTTGGTAATTTTATATCATATTCCTCAGCGTTTTGGCTTTCTGCTTCTCCATAATTATACACAAAATAAGGGAAACTTCAAAAAAGGGAAACATCTTGTTTCAAACATGTAATCTATTTCCTAACAAACTCCCTATGAAGATGTGTAGATCAAGCACAAGTTTCTCTTAGATCCAATTAGGAAGAAAAAATTAATTTGAAATAACTACTTTCAGATGCAAACAGGAAGAAAAAACTTTAATTTGAAATAAGTAATTTCAGACATAATTACATCAAAACATTTAAAAAAATCACATTTTAGTACTCGGCACTCCAAAAATTAGTTGAGAAATTAGTGGATAACAAAATGAGACATAAAATCATTTATAAATAACTCTAAAATTGTGTTAATCATATACTTTGGTAAAAGGTATGCTATTATGTAACACTAATTCATTGTCGATGCTGTACTTTGGAAGTTTTCATGACTGGAACTATCCACCTCTTTTGTGGAATCATAACAGAATGCATCTCATCCTACGAATAACAGCCAATCTGTTACTTTAGTGATATGAGACTCCTGAAAAATGATTTTTCCTGTTTTTTTATTTCATTCAAGCACTCATCGGATAGAATGGCGTTACATTCCTCTGCAGAAAGGCCTGTCGCAGAAGAAGAGGCTGCTCGCTTGTATTTACTTTTGTGAGCGTTACTGACTAGTTTCTGAACTGCTAGATATTGTCTGTCCCAGTATGAGGAGTTTCCTTGGAATTTATTTTCTTCAAGAGCAGAGCTCAAGTACTTTCTCAAATAGTCTCCGATATCCCTACAAAAGTAAACGGGTCAAAAAAAGTTGGAAATTGAGTTAAAAGAGAAATGGATACCTGCCATTGGACTTGTTTTTATCTGCAGGCCATTTATCAAGTAGTTGCAACATACGTTTATATTTCCCTGCTGTAGAAGCCATTCAGAACACTGATTTTGAGCATCTACCAATTTCAAAATTTATAGCAGGAAAGTTTTAAAAAATATTTCTGAGATAGGCCTAACCTCACTTTCATCTACGAATTTGAAATTTACCAAGTGGTTTTCCACGTACACAAAGGTGTGCACCGACTGTACCATATGGTTCCAGAACATATTTTCTACTCGGATAGACACCTCACACGTAAGGAAGACGCGTGTATTGTTTTTATTCTTTCGAATAATAATGAAAAAAATGACTGAATGTCAGGTTATCAAATGATTCAACTACCTCTCCGATCGTGACAGAGGACGGTTGTGCCGGTAATGACCGCCCTCAAAGATGGCACGTGGATGCCTTATATGTATATTAGAGCAAAAATTAAATGTCAAATAGTGTTTCTATCAACTCTTTTCTTGTAGTTCATTTTTTTCTAACACCAAAATGTGCAAACAAAATCTCGAAGTTTGAAAAACGTATTACCAACAAATCAATTGCAATGTTTTTGTTTTTTCAAAAACCGTCCAAATAGTGAATCCGAGTATTGCTAATATTCGCCTGAGAATCTACAACTGAAAATTATGAATGAAATATAGACAATATGCTGAAAGACCTAAAGCAGAGAAAGGGATACTCAGCCCTGAACAGGAACCATGAACTTTTTGAGAATTTCGAGGTAATTACTAACCTAAACATTTCATCGAGTGATTAGTGGACTAATCAGATGGTAAAATCAAGCTAATTTGGTTGAAATTGCTGATCTATTAACCTGCCGAGTTGACATCGAACTAATTCCTCGGCTGCAATCAAATTATAAATTTGAAAAGTTTGAAATAAGTTGAATTTACCGCTAAAAATAAAATTAACATTTCGAACACAGAACGTAGGTCACAGAAACTTGACCAAGCTACATCAAAGTGCCACCAGAATGAGTGTCTCTTCTATATGGTATTCTGTGTCTGGAGAAAGAGAAAAAAAGGTTCCACTGCAGCGCAGCCTGGTGACAAGAGGGTAAAGCTAATTCAACAAACAGGTCTGGTAGAGAAAGGTTTCTGTGATTTAATAATTGAGGAAGAAGGAAACGATGAATATTTGATTCAAATAAATATTCGAAAATCAATAAAGTTTGGTAACGTCCCACTGAAAAAATGTTTATTTTCCTTGACGTTTATTAATCAGTCACCAATTATTTTCCTATATTAACATAGATATTTGCTTACAATATACAGTACCTGCTCAGGGTAATGTTTGATTCAAATTAATACAATTCCAGAAATATCTGTTCCATACCTACTCACTCATAAAGTAGATGTTTTCATATTTCGGTTGGTGGAAGGGGGTTGAAACAGGTAGTCGGCCTCTGTGCAAAATCTGCCCCGATCGGCCCAGTCGCCAAGCTCGTTTCGTTCGTGTTCCTTCTCTCTTATTGTGTTTAGTGCTCTCACTCTGACGACATGGCAGACATCTCAAAAGAGGATCTTCGCAAAGAAATTGCCGGTAAGTGCTATTTTTCTATTAAATTTAGAACCAGTAGTTGCGAAATTCACAAAACCTAGTTCGTAATTTTTTTCTGAACATTTTTTCCTAATGGATTTTCGAGGGTTAACAGTGGAAATCAAGCATTTTACTCTTGGTCAATTTTACTTCTCCATACGTACATAAACAATGGCTGAACGACGCTATGGGAGAAGATGTAATTTTGTGCGATATCGAATTTGGATTTTTCTCTGATATTGCTCGTCGAATCGGAAAATACCTTTGACAAAATCGGTGTGAAAAATTATTTCTGATTTTCGTAGGAGTTTTTCTCCCCGGATTTCATCGTAGATCTGGAAGTTTTCTGAAAAATCAGAACGTGATTGGTGTTATTTGGAGTGTACTTGTATCTGTAGACAGGCATGTATTTTATCGTTTTCCACGTTCTGTAAGCCACGACAGCAAAATATCACCAGGAATTAAATATAGTTGAGGGTTTAAGTAATCGTATTCTGTAATAGCATTACCTTGATATATTGGGTGTAGCCCATTTTTGAACGTTTGAAAACTTGGTGTTGTTCATGTTGGTTTTAAAGTGGAATGTTCTATATCAACCTTGTAAGCCGTTTGTGAATTATCATTGATCCAACAACAATTCGCTATTTTTGTCTTCGTATATCTAGATCTTTGAGCCTTTTACTTATTGTTTGAATTGTGCTACATACACAAAGGAATAATTCGAAATGTTCAATCTCGTGAGTTGATGTAGGCGTGACGTGTGGAAAAATATAATTTTTAGATACCTATTTCTTGAATAAATTTCGATGACTGCCTTATTGTTCGTGACTAGTAAAGATGAAAATTTTGTTGAGAATTTTCAAACATATTTGGTGCAGGATGCGACTGCGCAATGCTTTGTTTGAGGGATTAGGCGCGAAACTTGAAGAGGGGAACAAGGCGACTCAGTTGGGGGGGAGTGGGGCAGAATTACTTGCTCATATTAGAATGTTGTGCGTTTTTTGTATACAATAATTGAGCCATATTTTCCCAACGTAAATCCCGCCAAACTTATTCCAATCTGAGGTTCAGTAAATTTATACAAAAGCACGATGATGTAATATTTTACCAGGGTCGTAATGAGGCCAAATATTTGAAAATATAATATACAAGGTGACGCAAAACTACAGTTTATCTGATGGTATAAAATGAAAAATTAAATTGCAGCTAAGTTGATCATTATGGTTTTATTTAATTCCTTGGATGAAAAAATGATAATTTAGTCTGAAAATCAGCAGCAGCAGCAGAGATCAGCATTTTCAATCTTTATAGTGATTTATAGTGGATATCAAACAGTCAATCAAAATATGCTTTAATATCAAAGAATAACATCTTGTTGACAAAGGGTGTAAATATAAATGTAATTAAATTAATAACAATCAGTCACTTATTTGAAATTCAAAATATAACAAACAATAGATGTATAGTGTATAGAAAGTGTATGTAAGTGTTTAGAAAGTGTATAGTTTTGGTCTACTTATCATTGTCTCCTATCCACATAATATTCTTCCAAACTATAATAGATTCCATCGGAAAGAACTCTTTTCACTGCTTTTTTGAAGCTGGTGTTGGACGGATTATCTTTAATACTATTTGGAAGGTGGTTTTCCATTTGCACTATCCTTAACGATAGTGGAAGATGGTAATGGTAGTTTGAGATAGTTACTTTGACAGGAGGGGTATCTATTCCCTGTAATGAAATTTTGTTTGTGTTTATGAGACACTGTTTCAAGTATAAATATAGACAGTACTGTTTAGTATGTTGTGTTGCTTGAAGTGAAATCTGCACGAATCGCGAAATTTTAGTTTACAGAGGTATCTAAGGGCTCTTTTTTGAAACATAAAAACACTTTGAAGAACTTTACCCCAGAATGGGGAGCAAATGTGACTATCAAAGAGTAGTAGACTGTCTTTGCTGTTGGGAATCCTAGTTCGTTTGCAGAAATTTTCACAGCATAACAACCAGAGGACAATTTTTCATTCAAGTTGTTGACATGTCCAGTGAATTTGAGACTGTTGTCGATGTATAGTCCTAGAAACTTAGAAAAAAACACTGTTTTCGATAATCTGGCGGTTTCAAGAAATATCAGCAACTGCACATTATAAGGACACTATCTCAGTTTTCAATTTGTTTAAGAATAAAAGATTTCGAGTCGCACCACCCTTTGAACTTTATTATATCTGAATTAATGATACTATGAAGATCTGCTTGCTTATAAAGATTATTTCGTTTACTGTTGCCATTATAGTTCGCCAGAAGTTCAGGTTTATTACAAATTTTTCAATTTCTTGCTCCATAATATTGTCCACCTTCCAAATGTTTTGCTCCACTTTCTGCTGCAGGGTTCAATGAATTTTTTTCCACTTTTCAGACGTGATGGTAGCTTTCGCATTATGTAAGATGTTTTTCATATCAACAAACTTAAATGTAGCATTATGCCCTGCAACAAAGTTTTCTATATCAGCCCAAATAAACTCAATGGGATTAAGTTCGCAGTGATATGGTGGTAGTCTTGAAACAACAATAAATATGAACTAATATTTTCCACTAACATGCTGACTTACTTTAGGCACTTATTTTCATTTATCTTTTCTGCAGCCATCTTAAAAGATGCCGACCTGTCGTCGACGTCCGCCAAAAAGGTAAGGCAAGAACTCGAAGAGAAACTGGACACTAGCTTGCAGTCAAGGAAAAAGGAAATCGATGATTTAGTCATGGAGTTCGTGAGCTCTAAGCAAGACAAGAAGAAGGGAAAGAAGGGAGATTCCGATAACGACGAGGATGAAGAAGAAGAGGAGGAGGAGGAAGAAGAGGAAGAGGTAAGTTCTTATTTGTGAAATCAAATATTAGTTGAAAGTTCTGTCTTTTTTTGATATGATGAAAGGGAAGTTCAATGAGTTCTCATCACTGATTTTGTCATACAGCCTTCTGAGGACGAAAAGAAGAAGAAGCGTTCTTCAACCGGAAAGAAACCTGCAGCCAAGAAGGCCAAGAAAGGTTCCGATGACGAATCCGCCAGTGAACAGAGCGATGGGGATTCTGAAGAAGAATATTCACCGAAAAAGTCTAAGCCAATCAAGACACGTAAACTTCCCCCCAAGAAGAAGAAGGGTTCCGAGTCAGACTCTGATGAAGATTGGGGCAAGAAGAAGGGAAAGAAAGGCGTAAGTGTAATAAAAAAAATTGATTACTTCTACAATACATGCTGACACATTTATGCATTGAAGGAAATATTATCGTCATTCTCAAGACTGAAATATTACCAAATTTTTACGTTCACCTATGACCAATGGAATATGAGAAAAATGACAGGACGGGAGAGAATGTTTTCTTTTGTTCTGTACAGAAATTGATTGGCAGAAAATTTCAGTGTGAAAAAATGCATTTGAAAAGTTTTTTTTAACTGGATGAAATGGGAAAAATTGGGGTAGATCGAAAGTAATGGAAAATTATCGGGTACTTTTGAAAAAGTCTACTTCCTTGTCGAATGACCACAACAGGACTTCTTTCATTTGAAGTAATCATTTTTCTAAGTTTGTATGTATTTCTTTTCGACAGTGTTTGGGCTGACTTGATTTCTCTGGATCTTTTTCTTGTTATATTCATGAAACCATACACAATATCGAAAATTCAAGAGAGACCAATTTTATAGTCTTCTCAAAAGTTCTACAAAATAGCAGGACAAATGTTTTACTACTGACACTAGTTCAGAAGATATTCAGAATTTAAAAAAACGTTGGTATTTCGAAAATGATTTATACGTACCTAGATATTCTACTTTAAAAAAGGAAAATTATCTTTATAAATCAACAATTGAGGCAAAATATAAATTATAGTTCAATACCACCTCCACAAGCCACATAAACAACAGTTGTTTTGTTATTTATTTATATAGAGGAAGATAGGTTAGGTGCGCAAAATGTCATATGTCACAGAATGTATCGGAACATAAGTAAACAGAACAGCACGCCTCTGAAATATGTCACATTTGTTTGTCTCATACAGGTAACAGATTCATTGTCCTTTATTAGCTATAACCGATGTTGCCAAATGGTGAAACAGAAACGAATCCCTTTAAATGCTGAATGCATTATTTCATTCCTCTTTTTTAAGTATTTCAATAATTTTTGAAAGAAGAAGGTTGAAATGATAAGTTTAAAATGCGTTTTTCTAGAGCTCTTTTATGAAAACTACTTGATTTTCGTCAGGAGGAACATTCCCCATTATTGGTGAAATCTAATACCCTCTTTAAATAAATCGATATTTAAAATGTGGTCCTTCGAGCCGGATATGAACCAGCTACTTACGGATATACAGTGGAAGGTGTGAATCCCCAAAGAATGTTGATGAAATTTGTTTTGGTTGGATTTTTGCCTCCAGTTTGTACCTGAATGACACTTGTTCGGTTTGCAATTGTATGATTCCCATAATTTGCAACTGATACTTTGAAGAACCAATTAGGTGCAAAATTGCTTGGGTCTACTGTTGGTCATGCATTAGCCCATTTTTCTTTTTCTTTTTTTTATATCAATGTTATGTTCAAAAGTCAGTTAGCATATTTAAATAATCGTTTACCATTTTTAAGGGTGGCGGAGGAGCCAAAAAAGGAGGTGGTGGTTACACCAAACAGATGACCCTATCTCCCGAGCTTGCTGCCCTCGTCGGACAAGACTCAATGGCCCGGCATGAAGTCGTAAAGAAAGTATGGGCGATTATCAAAGAAAAAGACCTCTACGACCCTAAAAACAAACAGTACGCAATTTGCGATGATGCTCTGATGAAGGTAATTGGAGTTAAGCGATTCCGGACCTTTGGAATGATGAAATACCTGAAGACCCATTTCATCAGCTAAGCTGCATTCGTAGCGTGTACATTTGACTAGCGCCGTGTATCGGCAACTGTTTTTTCCCCTTCCAGATTTGAATTTCGTAGTTTGGTGTCCAACGTCGCGCTAGTCGAGTCGATTTCATGTTGATAGAATTCAAATATTTTTTTATTATTAAGCTATCGAACTGATGACCATAGTTTTTAAGTTTTAGGCCGTACATTTTTTTTTCTTTTGAGTTATCGTAATGTATTGGTAACATTTGCGGTTTAGTTGATTGGCGTAATTTGTGCACTTGTAAATGTTTCGAAATGTATTACATACATTCAAAATTTTTATTCAATAAAGTACTTTAACGTGGCTGGCGTTTTTTTTTTTTTTAGTCAGGCTTTCTGAATTTTCTTCTATTGAAAATCGTATGATAAAAGGTAAGACCTCGTTGGACCTATTTATTTCATCGAATGGAATGGAGAAAAGTACCGACAAATTTCAAATACTGTAACATTTTCTGTAATAGATGGTAGCACTTCGGAACAGTTATAGTACAGGCACACAACGCTGTGAGCTTGACTCGTGATCTAAAAAACGTAGGTTCTACCGATTTGAAGTTGAGTCGAATCCGCAACGTAATATGGCCGCCGTAATTCATCCTAGATGTCTCGGGAAATTATTGGTAGTGCTACCCAGAATACGTGGCTAATGACCATGGCAGTTGATGCCATTGGCACCAAAAAACAGGAACATTGACAACAAGTAATGACAGCTGGTGTGTTCTGTGTCACTGTATACCTTAGAGTAACAAAAGACAATGGAGAGGCCTTTTCCATCCTTATATTGAAGACAGCATAACTTTGTTTGTTTACGGGAAGTAAGTTGGACCATAAAACAGTGGCGGTCGGTTTAGTTGATAACCGGAGGGATATTAATTATTTTCAAAATAAATCTTTTCAGGCGAAAATGTATCAAATAGGTCCTACAGGAAATCTGATTTATTATTAATGATTAAGGAAATGGGGCCAGTTTTTCTACCACTTACTAGATTTTTATGTGTGTATGGCTTTATAATAAAGCGCGTGGTTTACTGGGTTAAAATTAAATTATTTCAAATGAACTAATTCATAACAATGATAAATATTAATTTCAAAAGTAATGAACTTTGCTTCATGAAATCAGATGAAGAAATTTGTGATTCATAATCAGATTTGATGAACAAGAGGTATGTATACAGACGGAGGGGCAGAAGTTTTTTTCAATCAATTGAATTCAACTTGCCATTTTAAAAAACCAATTTTGGATTTGACCAAAAATACAGCATTAACTGTAAACGTTCTCTAATCCCAGTTGAAATTTGTCAATAGATCCTCTTCAAGGCGCATATGAAGTAAGTCAGTCTAGAGACAGCAAAGTTTGTCGGCTAGGTTGCTTATGTCCAATAAAAATACTAACAGTGCTACTCAGAACACGTGGCTAATGACCATGACAGTTGATGCCTGACAGTCAAGACAAGAAGTGATGACAGCTGAAGTGTTCTCTGTCACTGTATACTGAATATTCTCTATCATTTCAGGGCCTGCCCAAGAGCTTTTTGCGCCTCAGGCGAGACATTGATTTCACGCCACCACGCCGAAATGTTCGAGAATGTTTCACGTTTTCAATAGAAGTCCAAGGAAATTATGAAAAAGTCTGATTAACCACAAGAAACATTTTGTTTTGAACTTCTTTGCCATCAATGAAACTCAACTTGTGATTTTAAATAACCTAGTTTGGACCTGAACGAAAGTGAAGCATTCTCTGTAAAATAAGTTAAATGTTTTGAGACAGGAAGGTGAAAAGTTCGGTAACATGTCTTAATGTTTTGAAGGTCTATTTAAAACGATGCTGGTGAGGTAAGAAAAGTGTCTTGTAAGAAAAGACAAACAAGATGGCGTTTCAGAGGATGAAGATGTAAGTCCATCCATTTTCTCCTAATTAATTTATCTTTAATGAGCTCTAGTAAATTGCCCTTCAATCTGGTCACTATTGGAATAAGTTATCACAAATTCAATGATATAATTTTGATTCTGAGACTGAGAAGCCATGCCCTCAATGCAATTTTTTGTGTCTTCAAGATATATAAGTTTACAAATCTCATGTTCTGATTTTCTTTTATTGTGTGACAATCAGTTTTCTCACATTCGACAAGTGAGATATCACCTGCAACATTGAATTTGCAACGCCCGTTATGTGACTTCGTACTCAAAAGCCCGCGCCTTCTGGATTCCATGCAGAATCGAGACATTCAGTTACTGTCATTTTTCAATTATGTTTATGTCAGATCTGTGATTTTGTGAAACCTTTATTGATCAAACGGAAACATTAAAACTGGAAGAACAGCATTCGAGACGTTTTCCCAGGACGATGGATGCGGCAAGTCGGATTCGATTCAATATCGTTAGAGAGATTATGAGAGAATGTTTTCCGAGGAAATTGAAACCAAACGAGCATTTCGTCGGTTATTTTGTGAGTACAGATTGTTTACTGATTGTTGTCTAGTGGGGAAATTAGGAATCGTTTTTTATAGTCAACTCATCCCTCACCCCAGTTAAAAATTTTAGGAAATAATTCGAATGCGCCAAGTCATTAGAAGTAAGTTAGTCTAGAGACAGCAAGTTTGTCCGCCAAGTCATGTTTGTGTTCAATGGAATGCATATACTGCACGAATGTCGCATATACTTGTGTAACCTATTATACATTGATGGATGTAGCCGTTACTACGTGGTAGGAGATCATAATGAAAAGAGAAATGAAAATTTCTATGTTTTTTACCACTTTTAATTGTAACTAACGTTACTGCAGTTTTTATCAGCCAACATTAGTACTTATCCCTTTCGTAAACTCATTTAGGGTGAATCAATCAATCAATAAAAACAATTTATCATCTGATTAATAAGAAATTCTCCACTTAACATTCTATAACTCAACAAAGATTGAATTCAGTAGATTGCAAAGAAAGTAAAGCATTTTTTTTCATTTCATGATCAATAATTTTTATTACTTCATACATTGTATTTTTTTTTCTCTTCACTCAACAATTTTATACTGAAATTTTATCGAATGTCATAACATCAGCTTATAGTTTATTCACAGAATACCTTACAGAAGAAACAATCATATGGCGGCACTTTGATGTTGAGGGATCAAGTTTCTGCGACCTATATTCTATGTTAGGGATGTTGTTTGATGTTCCGTGCTGAATGTTTTTCATGTATTGTTGTTATATTGTTGATATATAGAGTTTCTTCGTCCATACTGCAATGAGCCCTCACAAACAGAAGTTCATTTGCTACAATTTTTTAATTTGATTTTGCACTTGCCACATCCGAAAAATAGAATTGTGTTTACTCCATCTCACAAACATCCTTCTACAGGTGAAATTATTGTTGATGGATCCGAATTGGGGCATAACAGAGAACCTGATGAATAGCAGATCAAACGTACAAAAGTTCGTTCAATTTGTCATAAGCCAGCTAGAAATGCAAAACACTCTCCATATAATCACTTTGAAAATGCAATTCTATTTCAATTGTACTTTGGAGCACATGGACACGGTAATCTTCAACCATAGACAAGAAACGCTGCGCAGGCTTCTGGCACTCAAAGAAGAGATCTGCAAGGCCACTTTAAGAGAAAATCCGGACGTTTTGAGAAAGAAGATGGCGATCTATGTGACTTTCGTTTCCGGTTTGGGGAATCCCATGATAGATATGGTATATTTTTCACTTTTGGCTGTTAAGTTTTTAGGTTATGTTTCATATTAGTAACTTTATATTAGATGCATACTATATCTTCAAGTAAATCAAGTAAACCTCAAGGATTGATTTTATTTTTGAAAAAAAATATTAAGAAAGATGTTATTTTTATATCAAAAACCCAGCTCTTTTAATAACTACTGTTAACAAAATTTTAGGACAGGTATCACATAAGTATAAAACTGTTCAAGTTACTTTTTTATAGATATTGGTCTTTCGAGCCAGATCTGTAATCAATACAGATCATAAGTACTATATAAATCAGACATTTATCGGGTTTGTGATTTCTATTTCTGAAAACAATAGAAATCAGTAAATATTCACGCTTCTTTTCCTAACTTTGACTCCGTGAGGAGGAGCATGCATTCTACAATATAAAGTACCTACTCTCATAATCATTTTTCAGGTATATGAAGAGGCTTTCTTCGCAATAAAAAGTATTATGAACGAAGAAGAAGCTAAAGAGTTCATATTGGCTCCGAGGAATGTGAAAGAGAGCCAACTAGAATTAATGAACAAAATAGTGTGTGGTATAAGGTTATTCAACAAGGATTCCGATAAGGGAGGAGCAGGAGTCCCTAATTGTAAGAATAGGTTCGCTTCTGAAAATAATAGTAATGATAACTTTTTTTTGCAAGATTTACGTAATAAAAAAACGTATTCAAGTACCTAACACTTCATTGTGACATTATCAACGGACAATTTACAAAATCAGTATGCAATACCTTCCACATGCATGTTTATACACGTATGATGTACGAACATGAAGAGGGAGTTGAAAATTTCCTGTTTGGACATTAAAAAAAGGTAGACAGCTCGAGAGATTTGATACCTGAATCATGAAAGTGGCGAGATCTTCAAATTGAGTTTTTTTAAAATTCAACGTTAAAAATGGAATACATTTTCTATACAAATCAGCTATCGATGTATTGAAAAGACTTTACAACCATCATAACCAAAACTAAGGTCTCTCGACACGCGTGTTTCGCTAACCAAGTTAGCGTCCTTAGGAGATCATTATGAGGTATGAGATTGAGAAAAAAGTTGTTAGGGAGGTAGCTGAAAGCCACGGGTATCCATCAAACATAGTGGATAAATTAATTAGAAAACAAAAATTTAGGTAGTATCTTCGTAATGTCTCGACTTTTCGAAAAGAGAAAGATTCAAAATTCATAGTGCTTCCATATGAACCCAAATACACCAGTGGGTGGGTCCGAATATTTTAAAAATTGAATATAAGAGTGGCTTTCAAAACTGCACGTGCAGTTTTGAGCAGTCTGAAAGAAAAGACTTTGGAAAACAACATTTTGGGATTCACGCAATGAGTTTTGAGGATTGTGATAAGAAATATGTTGGTCAAACCAAACGGACTTATTAGCTCGCTATAAGGAACATATTTCGCATGTTCGGTTTTATAGACCGGAGAAATCTAGTGTCGTTCAACATTCCATAGAGAACGACCATAGAATAAGTTAGAAATGTTTGAAATAGTTGACATGACAACAGGTTTCTGGGTGTCTTCGAAAGCTTGGAAAGTGTCAGAAGGAATTTTTATGTTTACTCTGTCTATAATAAAAGTCCCACGAGTAGCTAGGGAAAAAGTCAATCACGGCAGAGCCCCGCATAACCGTGACAAGGCGATGCTACGACGAGAGGGCGCCAGGTATCTCGAAGGATCCGTAGAGACAGCTGATAGACTCAGTGTCATTCATCATCTCGGCACGGAAACACACACCTTAGGATTAACCCATCGTTGGGATGCCATTCAGTTAGGAAATAACAGAACCACAAGTGTTTCTGTCATTCCTGTATCCAGCGGGGCTACGTGTAAGCAGTCATCCGATGGCCGGTTTGCTCAACCCCCACATCCCAAGCCAACGCACTCGCCAAAAACAGCATACACAGTGGTTCAGGCAGTGGAAGATGAACAAAGACGGCCAACCCGGTAATAGCAACAGGCAGTAGTTAGGCCAATAGGATATAAAAACACTAACATAGGAGTAAATTCAGTCATAATGATCTCCTGAGGATGCTAACTTGGTTATTAGCGAAATGCGTGTCGAGAGACCGTAATCAATTTTACGCCAGAGGGTCCATTTTGAACTATCCAGCTATTAATGACTGACATTTATTTCAGTGCCTGACTTGCTGGATAGAGCGGTCACAGTTGTCAAAAAAGAAGCTCAGTTCGCACTATTGAAAATTATGGAGACCGTGAATTTGCTGACGACCGCCATCGACAAATGTTACGTTATGATAGAAACCGAGGATCAGAACTATACGATGGTGAGCCAGATACCATCGAATCTGTTCGGGCAACGGTTGGACCAGAGCAAAGATATCTTGATTTTGTACAGACAATATGAGTTGTGCGTTAGGTTTGTATTCCTTGCAATTGCATTAATGCTTTGTGGGAGTCTTTGGAAACTCGCAGGTAGATGGAAATCAATAATTCTCGTTGTTGTTTCAAAAGTTTTATCCATTTAAATGTCATGTGTGATGGAGAATTTTGTACACTAAACATTGATCCTGCTCATTTTTTCCAAATCTAACTTCTTTGTCTCCTTTTAGCTTACTACTGGGAGATGTCGTTAAGCGATTTGCGGTCGTTATTCCTTTACGAATTCAAATTGAACCAAACCAAATGATAGTGTTAATTTTGTTCCGGAGATTTTAGCTTCAAAGATGAGCCTTCAATTGGTCGGCCTACAGTTATCCAGGATGAGGATTTGACGATACTGGTGGAGACTGACCCATCACTAACGTTGTGGAAGAAAGGCGGAAGAACTAGGTGTCAGCTTCCATGCGGTTTTTGATTGTTTGAAACGCATTGGAAAGGTCAGTGGTTAGACACTGATGAGCCATCCATGCATTTTGAAATCCCGCTACACTGCTTCATGTTCCGCTACGCTTGAATATCTGACGCAATCAGTTCGCGCATGCGCCCTATGCAAAATTAAATACCACAGAACTTCAGTTTGTAGTTTGTTTACCGTTCAAATACCACAAAACTGAACTGTCACTAATGCCAGTATCAGGATCGTTCTAATTTTCAACCCCGCAACTCATTAGATGCTACCTAATTTTCTAAATTAACAGCAGTTGATTTTTGAAAGCCGTCGTTTCGACCAAATACATCTTAGCTTGAAATGATGATTTTGAAAAGTAAAAATAAATATCGATTTGTTCACGTACGTATAGTCACACTGAGTTCTTGAACGATCATTTGCGACATATCTAATCCATTCTTACGAGTCAGAATCAGACAACCAATGTTGAGAAAAAGTTTGTTTTCGAAACTTTTTGTATTTTTTAACATGTCCCGTTCCCGTCGAATTCAACTGCGGTAGCTCTTTCGCTCGAGCTACAATCATTTCCACTGTAGTTTGTTCCATATAATTCATAATACTCGAGACAGTCGACAATTTTAGTTTCAAGACATTGAAGGTTATATGGTTTATGAAAATATCAAACATATTCTTCTTCTCTTTCATCATGTAATGACCCTTTTTTTTCAATATTGATTGTTTGTAGAAAATTCCGCTACTTTATGTTCAAATTTGCTACGCCGCTACCGTCGAGTTAATTCCGCTATGGTTGGCAACTCTGGTTTATGATAGTAATGAAAATATTCAAAAATATTCTTCTTCTCTTTAATCATGTAATGGCCTCAGCTACTAAGACTATAACGTATTGACTGTGCATTCAATTGTCAGCTGTCAGCTTCGAGTGCTGTCCACTGCATCTTTTTCTTCCACACTTTTCAATATTGATTATTTGTAGGAAATTCCGCTACACTATGTTCAAATCCGTTGCCTGTTCCACAAACCGCCGTCCGAAACCAAACGAATTGGGCGTCGAAGTCCTTCCTCACCCAACATGCTCTCCATCACTGATAGAATCTTCGCCAATCAGGATCAGGCAAAAACGGTTTTCATCAACTTCTTCGAATCGCGAGCTCTCAATTTTTATGCTGACGGAATAAATTGACTCGTGTGACGTGTGCACAAGTGCACTCGAATATTGACTGGGATATTGCAGTTCAAAGTTGACTCATAAAAACGGCAAAACTTTTGAAACAATCTTTCATACTTTCTAATTCTCCGGTTCAATATAAACAACCAATACCTCGAAACGAAAGTTGAAATGCCTTACTTCAATTTCGATATATATTCTAGGAAAATTATGGAAGAACTAGATAAACTTGAGGAACGTGCTTCGAATCTTTATGGAGACCTCGATAACTTGCTTAGAAAAATTCACAGAACTGTCCATATGAGAATCGCAGTTCCCGTTAGCATCATTTTTGTAAGTTTCATTCACAATGGTTTGATATAATATAATAAAAGGAATTTGTTGGATCATGGGACCAAAAAACGAAAAAATATAACAGATTTTGAAATATTGTTCTATAATTTTGGGAAATATATTATTACTTTAATAGAATTATAGATGGTATATTCTATATTCATGCCTAAAACATCGTTCGAATTAGGACGAACTGATTCGTGAGACGTAGAAATTCATGCGATTCTGTCTCAGACCTCAACGGCGATTTACAGTCACCATTTCCATATTTTCAGCGCTGCGGTATAGGGAATTCCATTTCTAATAAAGAAATTAAGGACAAATTCTTTGTTCGATATTTGTATCCATTATTAAAATCGCAAAACACTTTTGAGGTTAATCACCAAAGTAAGTACTGTAAACAAACCCAATGACAGATGGCGCTGACAGATGACAGCATGAGAATAGGGGACAGTTGTGCCAACCTGGCTATAAGAATAATCGCTTCACGCGGGCTTTTTAAATTATGAAAAATCAAACTAGATAAACATTCATTAACAAACTAAATATTTAATAAATGAGGACAACAAGAACTTAATAGACATTCAATGAGAAGTTATAAAAGAAGAATTGTTGCCATGTGGATTCGAATATGAAATGAATAATAATAATAAAGATAAATAAATTCTGATTCATAATTTTTGATAGCAGTGTATCAAAAGCTTTACATGAATAGTGAGACAAAAGACAATATATCTGATAATTGTCTAATTGACAAAGGATTTTGTAACTAGATCCAATGCTGCAGACCAGGCCCGCCCAGAGGGGAGGGATCAAGAGGATCAAATGCCCAGGGGAATTTGGGAAGTCAGCAGTCAGTTCAAACAGATTAAATAGATTCAAAGTAAAAAAATACTCAAAAACAGGTGATTTGATTGAAGCAAACACTCATAATTGGGTTTAACATAGAAGGAGGGGTATTGTTGAGATCGAAAGGGGCAGAAACTGGATCTACGAATGCTTTTTGTTTCTTCTAAAAATCAATCTGCAATTCCCGATCGTGAAAATGATATATTGCCATTAATATACACTTCAATTTCAGCCATTATTCGAAGAATTGTCGGACTTGTGGGTCAATATGCAAAATCAAGTAATACTAATGTCTAAACTGCATGACATCATGATCAGCTTAGAGGTGTACACTAAAAATCTGGAGTACAACAAAGAATGGCTGGAATCCGTCCTAGATAACCAGCCGGCCGTCACAGATGCCGAAAGGCTAGAAAAAACCGCCAATTGTTCTCTCAAGTCCACCAATGAAGAAGTACAAGTTTTTCGCATCGAGAACTTTCAAAACATCGACAAGGTTCGATTGCAGGTAAAGTTGGTCGTGGTTTATGTAGTTACTAGATAGGAACTAGATGAAACCAGAGCAAAACACCAGCAGATAACATTTTTTCGATCTGCTATAGGTCTTCTGTATCTGTATCTGTAGAGTAGGGAGGGTGAGTGTACCCACAGCACTGTGTACCCACAGCACAGCACAGCACTTTCAAGATGGCGCCCAGTCGCCATCTTGAAAGTTTAATCTGTCAATTTCACTTTTATGGGGGGCATTAAAGAAATGCACTGTGTGAGAAAAAATGTTTAAAAATTATTTAATCTGTTGAAAAAAATCTGCAGATTCATTGAGCAAATGCTGCTTCCCTTGTGTGAGCTAAGAACTAACGAGGTCTCACCTTTTAACGTGTGATTCCTAGTAATCAATCAATAAATACGCATATGGAATTTTCATGAGGCTGCTGTGTTTTTCACAATAAAAACATCTTTTTTACTTCAGAAAAACCTTTAAGAACATTTTTCTCTAATTTTCTGAACGTGCTTGTAGTTTCTGGGCTTCTGCTGCTGGAAATTTGTCGAAACTGACGGGGGTCTGATTCCTGGAAACCCAAGTATGGGCATCGTGAAATATAAAAACTTGAATTATGTTTTTTCCACTCCAGAAGCATGTGAGAGTTTCTCGAAGAATCCTGATCGGTAAGATTACCACGGTGGTCCCAGAAGTAACCGGCTTGACCTAGTGATGACAGTAGTTGATTGAAAAATCAGAAAAATATCAATGTATTAGAAAGTACACAATCTATAAAGCATATGTTTCAAGTTTGAAGACGCTGCGTTGTTTAGTATTTATTTGACAGCCATCAATAGCGATCGCTTTCGGTGAGTTTGTGAAAATGGAGAAAATTGGCCAACGTTATGCGGTACAATACTTTGAATTGAAAAGCCTCAAGGTGAAATTATCAACGGCGAGTATTATGCGAACCTAATGCAACGTTTGAGTGAATAAATCAAGCAAAAACGGCCACATTTGGCTAAGAAAAAAGTGCTGTTTCATCAAGACAATGCATCAGCTCACAAATCCATTATTGCAATGATCAAAATTAACGAATTAAAGTTTGAATTGCTACCTCATGTACCCAACTCGCCAGATTTAGCCCCCTTGGATTATTTTCTGTTTCAAAACATGAAAAATAGATCAGTGGTCGAATAGTTTCCAACGATGAAGTGATGTCGGCAGTTAATGGCTTACAATGACGGTAAACATAGCATTTGAGGCTCGGGGAACAAAATCATCGCCGGTACATCGCAAAACCTATCGTAAGAGTTTCGTGCTGATAATGTTCGTCCACAAAGAAGGTACGCAGATGCCATGTGCTCTGTTTTGTGTAAGTCCATTAAGATAATATTTAAAATGTGTAAGAGTCTTTTCGAAAGTTCATTCACACCGGTATCCAGGCCGGGGTGTTTCGGATAATCACGTAAAGGGGGCTGTATATGTGAAAAAAAACAACGACAAAAATGGGTGGCAGCATTGCTTCGTGCAAGACCGCTGCGCCTCCCAACGAAGCTCCTGTCAACCTTAATAGGAGGAGCCTGGCCAAATGTGCCCGAGTGGAAGGCAATGACCATTGATATAAGAGAGAAAGAGAAAAACTATCGTAACAACGTCATAAACTTGTCGCAAAATATTTGACGACGCGCACTTGGATGTGACAACGCCTCAGACTAACAAAAGACAATAGAGGAGATGCCTTTTCCATCCTTACATTGAAGGCAGCATAACTTTGTTTACGAGAAGTAAGTTGGACCATGAAACAGTGGCGGTTGGTTTAGTTGATAATCGAAGGGATATTAGATATGTATGTAGGTGAAAATGTATTCTGTTTAAATAGTTCCTACAGAAAATCTGATTTATTATTAATGATTATATGGAAATGAGGCCAGTTTTTCTACCACCTACTAGATTCTACCATTCAATTTCAATCACTTCGTCCTTCGATAGTCGAGTAATCTGTCTATCTCAGTCTTCCGTCTCATTATGATAGGCGTGTCCCGCGTGTCATAGAACTCATAGAAGTCATAGACCACGATCCCGTCGATCACAGAGCACTTAATTTTCAGATCTGTCAAATCTGTCGAAAACCGGTGACGCTAAAAGAAAAACAAATCCACAGTGAGAAAAGACAAATTTTAAATAAATATTTATGAATGGTGGTTGGTAGTTTACTTCAACTCTCTTGATTTTTGTTTTAGGAGACTTTGTGTTATTTGATTTGATATATAATATAAGCTGAAGCTAGATTAGTGAATGCAGAATTTTCAATTAATTATAATGCAAATAGTAATCAAATCAATATATTTGTAATAACCACTTCAAAATATTCACATTTCACATACGATAGAGTGTCTGCGCATGCGCTAATCGCTTTATTCCATCTCTGCATCATGCGGGAAGCTGTCACTTGTCAATAATTCTCATGACAGTGTTGGCAACCATTGATGCTAAACAATTATAGCGAAAAGCATACATTTTCATCTGTCATTTTCGTACCAACTTTTTTTTTGCCTTGGAGCAGCACTGGGCACATCACATTGTGACATCGACGCAATATTCAGTAGATGTAACTTTGCCGTATGTTAGATTAAATAAATGTTAATGATAATCATTTCAGGCGAATATGTCCAAACGCCAGACGGTGTCGACTCAGACCATGAAATCCGACTGCAGAAACACAATGGCGACTCAAACCTACCCACAACAGACAACATCCACGCAAACCAAACGGGATTGTTACACAAACATCCCCAAGCCTTCTACTTTCATATTCGGGCTAAGGGGGAGGAAAGACGACAGTAGATGTTTACACAGTTTCTACTCGACCTCACTCAAGATATCTCCAAATGATTGTACGAATCCAACGCCTCATTGG